CTAATTAAATATCATTTAGATAAGATTTTTTATTTCATATATGTTGTAATTATTTTTTTAAAATGATGATTAATAAGAATAAATACATTAAATAATATCTTAAAAATAAAAAGTGAATAATTAAATTTGAACACACTAAATAAAAAATTAAATCTACCAAATTTGAATTAAAAGAAAAATTAATGAGAAAAATAAAGAAAATGTTAAAAAAAATTTATTAGTTAATTGTTTTAATTAAATTCAAAAAGTAATTTATAAAGATTATTAAAGTAAAACATATTATTAATTAAAATAAAAGATATATCATTATTTTATTAAAAATATTTGAGGATATGTATATTATATAATATTAATTTATTAATTTAAAAAATAATTAATTAATAAAAAATATTATTACTAAAAACAAATGAAGTAAAGGACAAAAAAACCATGCAAAGGCGTGCAGGACCTGCAGGTGCAACGCCACCACGGAAGCCGATGACAAACTGCGTCAAGAAGTCATTAACGGTGTTTGTTAGATTTGACAGAAGTTAGTTTTTCGTCCAATTGGGACCTTAATTGAGTGCAATTGAAGTTTGGGTCAAACATTGCGAATTTTGTGCAAGTTTGGGTCCTTATATCATATTTATGCCTAATCTTTTATCTGTATGAATTGAAGAAAATAACTCTTATTTAACATCAAGTTTTAATATTTTATTAGTTTTATTAGTTGACTGCCAATTCTATTAGTTGACTGTCAATTTTATTAACTAAATGTTAGTTCTGTTAGTTAACTATTAACATCCGTTAGCATTCCGTTAATGAAACTAACAAATTAAATTAAATTTAAATTTTACATTTTTTATAACGGAATGCTAACATATGTTAACAGTTAACTAACAGAATGTTATCACCTGATATTAGGTAAGGGTTATTTTCTTTAATTCATATTTGTGATGGGCTAAAAATATCATAATATAAGGTAAAATGTTAAAACCTACCAATTTTGTAAAGTGAGAGATTAAAATTTATCAACTTTGTAAGATAAAAGATTACAACGGTCATATTTGTTATAAGTTGAAGAGTTAAAATCTACTAATTTTGTAAGGTAAAGGGCTAAATGTTAATTTTCACCCTTAAGTGCATGTGTCTTTAAATTCTATGGATTTTGAAAATGTTTTTGTAATTTAATGATTATTTTTTTATATAAAAAATATTTTACATAAAATGTAATAAGTATAAGGTTTAAATCTCATCCACTAACATTAAAAAAATTTCGATGGATTTCTTTTTTATCTTTTCAAATTGTCCTGTTTTAGTGAAAAATGTGTCTCATGAATTTGTATAAGGATTTTTCTAATGAATTAAAATTTAATTTTGGTCTTTCCATTTAAACAATAAATTCTTTTTAAATTTCTTTACTTTAAAAAATTACATTAGTTTTTTTTTACAAATAATGTGTTAGATAACGAATTTTTTAAAATAATAAAATTGAAAAAATTGAAAAAGTTTTTCATTATTATTTTATTTAAAAAATCACTTTTTAATTCTTTTATTTTAAAATTTTTATTATTTAATATGCTATATGTGTAAAAAGATAATATAGTAGTTAAAAAAATTAGATAACTCATTTTAAAAATTAAAAATGAGGTTTATTAAATAAAAAGATTAAAAAAAATTTTATTACAATAAAATAACTAAAATAAAATTTTAACCTTTTCTAACTTATTAAGACAAAAGCAAAAGAGTAAACTTTTATATTAATTAGCATTGAAAAATAACATTAAGTTTTTTGATTTATTAACTAATTAAAATGATTCATTATGCATTTGTAGTAAAATTAATATTAATTTTTATTATTTTAATATAAATTAATTTTTAAAAATATGTTAATTATATTTTTACTATATATGAATATAAATTTAAAAAATAATATTATTATAATTATAATTTCACATAATATTATAATTTTATAATATAATATATTATTATATAATTAATTTTTATTTAAAAATTTACTTATAATATCATATATATATATATATATATATCCATTTATGTTAATATTACAGATATTCAAATCAAAGACGAAAACACATCAAATTATTTCCCCACATCGTCGCCTTCACCATCGCTCGCCACTTTCCTCCATCGAACTCGATCCGTCTGCGCACCTCGAAGGCTCAAACTCTTTTCTGTAACATCTCTTCGCACGCGAAGAACGTCTTCCACCAGAGGTCTGACTATCTGAGACGTTCTAAAGTATTTGGAACTAAATTGTGAGAAGCGAAAGAACGTTCAATTTTGACTTGAGCATGACCCTTGAGACAGAGATCTTGGAGGTAGAGAAGCAGAGGCAATGGATTATGGCTATGGTTATGACTATGCTAAAATTGTTAAGAACATTAAAATTGTAAAATTCTTATTATAATTTAATTGTTAAAAATAATTAATAATTACGAAAATAATTAATATTAATTATTT